TCTTTCGGCTGCGATACAGGGTTCAAGTCTCTTGATGGCTCCTGTCACGTAATAGTTATTCATTGAGGCTACGAGTCAGCACAACACTAAAATAAATCCTTGAATAACCTTTCTTTTGCATGCTTGACTTGACAGATTATTGTCTAAGCACGTTGGTTGCGCTTCTTGTGATTTCCGGAGATTTTTGTGGAGTGGACCTTTTATATCACTTCACTGTACAAACCCCTTTTTGGTGTGTCAGTTTGTCTGTGTGTATGCCGTTCTGTCCGTCCGCAAAATGAAGTGAGTGATAAGGCAGCTACTGGAATAAACAAGCCGCTAACAAATCTGGGTAGCTCGCAGGGCTTGCGCTCAAGGTCAACCGTGCGTTGCGCAGATTTCGAAATTTTTACGACCGCTCCCTCTCGGAGGTGTCAGTACGACCCCCTCCCCCGTATTATATATTGTGTTTTCGTACATATTGTAGGCCCATCATCGGTATATGGGCCGTGCCGGGGATCCATGCAACAAGAAATCTTTCTCATTGAATGGGAGATTTCCAAATTTTCGCGTTAACCTAGGCGTGGTAGTAATAGTAGAAAAGATTTCTAACTTCAGAAACGTACCAAGCTTTCTCCGAGCTCGCAAATCACCATTTTTTGTAAACTGTACAAATAAACCCTTGCAGAAATTAAGCAACGACGCCAACTTTTTCATTCAAAAGGTTATGTCATTCTTCAAAACCGATCTCATGAGATGGTGATACAAAAATTTAAGAGCTACCAATTCTTTTCTTTCTAAAATATTTTTGAGCGCATGCAAGTAATCAGTTCTGCAAAATATCGTCTCGCGGTTCCGATTTTCGTGCACACGGTTCTCATCATTCAAACGTTCAAACCTTCCCCCATTATTGGCTTTCTGCAGATTTCAAAGCTAATCAAACTAGAAAACCTAGAAAATTAGCTCTCTTAGAAAAGCACCTGATTTTTTCCAAAGGCGACTTTCCCCAAAAGTAGCAATGTTGTTCACTTTTTTCGGGGGTTTGTAGGTCCGATTTTTGAGAAGCGCGAGTTTTCGTCATTCAAACGTTCATAACTTCCTTCATAATCAACTTTTTGCAGATTTTCAAAGCTAATTAGAAACTAGAAGATTGACGCTTTCGAAAAAATATCAAGATTTTTCTAAATGACCACTCTTTCGAAAAATCGTCCCGTTGTTCCGTTTTTCCCTCAATGGCTTTTTAGGCCATTCTCTTGAAACGCGAGTTTTCAACCTTCAAATGGCCATAAGTTTCTTCAAAGTCGGTACATTGAAAATGGTAAAGACCAATGAATCAACAAGATCAGTACTAGCCGAAGCCGGCCGAATTCGCCTCACTTTCTCTCCCTCTGATTTGTTCTGAAAGCATGGGAGTTTCTCTGAAAGAATTTTTCGCTTGTGCTCACTGGAACATGACGTATTTTAGTAAGAAATCTCGCTCTAGGATGCGCCATTCAATCGTCTGTGGTGCGTAGTCGCAGTGGCAGTTGAAAGTCTGTCCTCCTTTGCCACTTAGCCACGCCTTGGCAGCTTCTAATTTTGTGAATGGTACTTGAGGTTACGACCACTCCTCTTCCATTGGCCAAGTACGACCCCTCGTGTTCTCTGCGCAACGGGCGGTTGACCCTGCTTGCGCTATCAATGTTTTGCAATGGTATGGTTGTGATAACACACCAGCGGCTATATAAACACCTACTTAGCACACTTTCGTCATTCCACAAGGTGCTGCAGTGGCAGCTGGAGAGCAGTGGAGGGAGGAGGGGGATAAGCAGAGGAGGAGGAACGTAAAGCCTGCGCAGCGAAAGGAGGTTCCGGCAATTGCCGGATCTTGTGTAACTATTATACAAAAGCGTTCACGTCACTACTACAGACATATTTGCTACAAGCTCAGTTCCTTAAATATTTTAGGCAGGATCCTAACGCACAAGGCGCGGATTTTCATCAGTTTGGGGAATCGGATTCATCACCAACTCCTTCTGCACCGTTATATCCACCGCCGTCATCTTCTCCTTTGTTGAGGTGACAAGTACCAATCATTCTTGATATTGAATCAAACTTAGCAAACAGCCACAATGAAAAATAATCATGTATCATCTCATGCTAGAATGTCTCTGAAATTACTCCAGATTCCAATTCCTACAACCCCGACCTCTTCAACAAATACTTAACCATTATCTGTTCGCTTTTAGGTAAAAAAAAAATAGTTAATAGAAAAGACAATTTTATAGAAATCAACGAATAAATAGATCAATAAAAGACTAAATAGATAAATAGAAATTATATCAAGCACTAAAATAGGGTGTGCAAAGGCAGTCGGTGAACGTAAAATCCTTATCAGCCATATGCGCGAAAACCAAGTTATGGAACTGTTGCTCGTTCTTCATCAATTTTGGGGAAATACGATCCATCGCTAATGGGTCGATCACCATTTTATCCTCCGGTCATCCTTCCGCCCTCTCTGCATTTCTGAGGCTAACGTGACAAATAATCGTTTACATCACCGACTATCACTCTTCTTAGCTTGGTCATACGCAAGTCAACCCACATGACTTTCCCGCGTTTTGCGGCGCAGTTATATCAACTGACGGGGTTCTCCAACGTTGCGCAGTTTCGCCCGATTAGACACGTTCTCTCGCGCGAACATTCACACTCGCATGCTCGAGCCGTCTGCGTGTCTCGCCCATACAGCGTGCGTTGAGGATCTCTCAACGTGCCGTTGCGAACTGCGCAACGCAGGGTTGACTCTGGTCATACCGTCCCTCCGCATCGTGCATGCGAAGAAGGGAAGTTCAGGCCGACAAACAGTATTATCACGGATGAGCACCCAACAGACATTAACCAAAATATCACTTTTTAGTGACTACGTTATTGGAAGTATAATTCCCTTCACACTTTTCTTTTGCTTAACTAAATCTTTGAGATATTAGTTCTTAGCCAAATGAGCGCCGCGGAGGGGAGTGTTGGCGGTTCTACTAAGTGGGTAGTATTCTTGTACGCAGTTCCAAGGCCTGATAGAGCAACGTTGTTCATCGCAAAATTAATTTCTTCATTGAGTTTCGATTTATAGGGGCAAGTGCGCGAAGTTACAGAGGAAATAACGCATTTTTGGAATTTGGACAATTAGGAATCAAATCGCCAAACACATTATCAGCATCGGCCAACCCGCCTCCTCCCTTCACCACTGCTCTCCTCCCTTCTACAGGTAATTGCGCTATGGATATAAAGAAGAACAAATTTTCCAACCACCAATGAGCGTTGAAAAAAACATCTATCCTCGCGTCCGAAATTAATGTATGGAAATTCTCTAGCTCATTCTCCCGAAAATGACATGTGAATGTATTGTTAGGGATTCCTTACTAATTAGAAAGATTAACCACTTTGTACCAGAATTGCATCTATTTAGGCACCGTCGAAATGCACTTATGGTGAATCACGGTCGAGTGAAAGGCTGATTGCTCTTCATTCCTTTGCTGCTACAGCTACAATGTTCTTTCTCTTTTAACCATCGCTGTCCTTCCAATATAGGCACTTTCTAATGAAAATGACAAGGTATATCTTATATAAACGTTCTGCCCGAAATGTTGGCAATCAAGGTTTTGAATAAATGGTTTTTTCATAAATCTTGTAACTTTTATGAAAAATGTAATTTTTTCATAAAATTTCATAAAGACACATGTTAGGTAGCTGCCGCGACCAAGATACCCCTTGAATTGGACGCCTTGGTGTCGAGCACCTTGTCACGCGAAACGTGGGTATTGAAAGGGCCCACACTCTTTTTTGGGGAGCGAGCGCTGCACCGAAAGAATGCTCTCAAGGCACCATGCCTTTGCCACGAGGCAGGCTGAGTTCTAATTTTGACTAACTAGCTACTATAAAACGCATATATACAGGGTGGGGCAAAATTACTGGTGCACTAAATTTTCAATGGCATTTTGACAATAATTCTCACAAATCAATTCTAATTATCAATATTATTTACTACAAACATGACAATACAAAAAATGTTAATGCTTCTCAAAATGATCTCCTTTAGCCTTCACACAGTCCTTCAGACGTTCGACAAATGCTTCGCATGTGGCACGCAGGTACTGGTCATCGATTTCGTCCCAAGATTTTGAAAGCGCCGCCTTAAGAGAGTCCAAGTTTGGATGTCTGGTAGAACACGCTTTGCTCTCCAAGATGGACCACACAGAGTAATCCATCGGGTTTAGATCAGGAGAACTGGAGGGCCATTCGTCGTGTCTGATGAAGTCGGGCAGGTGCTCGGCGCACCACTCCTGGACCATCTTTGCTTTGTGTGCTGGAGCAGAATCCTGCTGGAAGCACCAGTAGGCTTCTCCGAAATGGGAGTTGGCCCACGGCTTGAGAACTTCCTCCAGGATATTTTTGTAAACCTCTGCGTTGATTTTTACACCAGCTTCAACGAAAACAAGTGGGGTCTTCCCCGTAGAGGTGACTCCTCCCCAAACAAGAATGGACTGGGGGTGTTTCGCTCTTTCCTGGAGTCTTGCCTTGGTGGTAGCATCAGCAAGTGATCCTGCAATAATCCTCTATTTTGGGAGTTGAAGGTTGGATCCGGAGTAAAAAAATCTTTTAATCACTGAA